AACAAGGCCGACCTGGGCCGGGCTGAGACAAGCACTGGCGTGCGGCGCGAGCGGCTAGTTTTATCGAGAATTCGGCCACCTTGTTGTAAGGCGCCCCGTCCGCGCGGTTCATCCTCCTCATCACTCCTCCTCCTCTCCTCCCTCCCCCCTCCCTCTCCTCCTCCGCCTCCCCTCCTCCTCCTCCTCCCTCCTCCTACACCCCCCTCCTCCGCCTCCTTACCCCCCCCCCCTCCTCCCCCCTCCAGCTCCCCCCTCCTCCCTCCACTCCTACCATACCCTCCTCCCTCCTCCTCACTCCTCCTATCCGTCCTCTCCTCCTCCTCCTCCTCCCTCTACCTTCCTCCTTCCCCCTCCTCTTCTTCTTCCTCCTCCTCCTCCCCCTCTTCTTCTTCCTGGTGCCTTCGAGGACTGGTCTCGGGAGTGCATTGGCCTCAAGCGCGTTTATTCGCGCACAACCTGCATGATGACGAGCTTTGTCAGTTGTACAGAGGTGCACCAGGCACCTTATGGCACCGTCAGTATGGGTGCCCAGCTCACGCCGTTCAGCGACGAGACCTTGTGAGTGCTCGTCTGGGAGGTTGTGCGCAGAAAGCGAAGGAGCTAGGCCCGCTGATGGCGGAGAGGTTCGCGAGGTGCATCTGTCCTCACCTCAGGTCCCTCTTCGACGTCGAGGAGCCCACCCAGACGGTTCATTGGCACCAGCGGCCCGAGACGGGCCTTCTCTCTGGGCTGCTCTTCCTGGACGGGTCTGCGAAATACATGGGCCTCGACGGGCTCACCCGAGCTGGTTGGAGTATCGTGTCGGTTGACAGGTTCGGGAACGTGGTTTCGGCAGCGTACGGACCTGTTCCAATGAGTATGGCCCCGCAGCAGACGAGTAAAGACGGGGAAGACTATGCTGCACAGATGCTGTCGCAAGTAGGTCTTCCCCCGTTTCAGTGCTACATCGATTGCCAGACCACTTTGGACTAGCTGGCCCGTGGGCATGGGTTCTCTGAGGGTCCTGGGACCCCGCGTGCCCACCACCTTTGCGGCCCTGTATGGAGCGCGTTTGCTCTCAGCGATTTCGAGTGCCACACGACGTTGGGCCATGCGACTGCTGCCGACATCGAGGCTGGCAGAAGCTCAGAATGGGAACGTCGGGCCAACGCGAGTTTGCTAAGCTAGGGGCTGATTGTCACGGGGTCGGCGATGACGACGCTAACGTGTACAGGGGCTTGCGATGCCTAGCCCGCCAAGCGTGCAGGTGGGCGGAAAGCGTCGAGGTCACAATGTCGGGAGGGCCCCGCGACACGACAGGTTTAGTTCTGTGCTCAGGCAGCGATGGCCTTCGGCAGCAGCCCTCGCTCGAGGAAGCAGCTGAAGGCCAGGCCCTGGCCGATCTAAGGGAGGGTGGAGGTTCGTGTGACTTGGGGGAGGAGTGGCGGCCGTTCGCTCGGCAAGTGTTTAGGGCGAACGGTCATGAGTTCCTGGCCTGCCCTGTTTTTGAGCCTCCAGGGACCCCCAGGAATAGGACCCAGTGTTGCTGTAGGTGTGGATCGGTTTTCTCGGGGGCTCCCAATGCTGGAGCAAGAGGGCCGTGCAGGCCCAAGTCAACCACGGGCGGAATGTCAGGCCAGCTGAGAAGGATTCGGCTGGGCAAGCTCCCGCCTTATAAGAAGGACTTGATGAACTTATCTCTGGGGGGCCACGAGAGCCTGAGCCTCGCCGAGCGCAGAGTCTTGGCTCAGGCGCTGCAAGAGGATGGCCATTCCCCCCAGGGTGTCGCAGGTCCCAACGCGGGCTGCTTCGCAGGGGGCTTCGCCCCGCGGGAGCATGTATTAGATTAGTTCGGCCTCGTCGAGTCGGATCTACCCTGGGTCAAGGACCTAGGGGCCACCTCCCTCCGAGCCTCGCGCAACGGCGTCGAGTCAGACTCGGAGGCCTCCGACCTTGGCTGATCGTCGGTGACGTGCTGGCTTCAGGCCCGTCCCCAACAGCCTCCTCCTCCTCCTCCTCCTCCTCATCCTCCTCCTCCTCCTCCTCCTCCCCTCCTCCTCCTCTCCTCTCCTCCTCCTTCCGCCCCTCCTCCTCCTCCTCCTTCTCCCCTCCTCCTCACTGCTCCTGGCTCCTGCTCCTGCTCCTGCCTCCTCTTCCTCCTCTCCTCCTCTCCTCCTCCTCTCATCCTCCTCCTCCTCCTCCTCATCCTCCTCTGGATTGGTCTCTTCATCCTGCTCCTCCTCCTCTTTCCTCATCCTCCGCCTCTCCTTCCTCCTTCCTCCTGCTCCTCTTCCTTCTCCTCCTCTCTCTCCTCCGCCTCCTCCTCCTCCTCATCCTCCTCTTCCTCCTCCTCCTCCTCGTCCTCCTCCTCCTCCTGCTCCACTCCTCCCTCCTCTTCCCTTCGTGCCTGAAGGACCATAGAGGTCCGCAGCTACCCCCTCAATGCGGCTCATGGAAGCCTCAATTCGGCACACACCGTTCACACATTTAGTGCCCCATGGACCCCAGGGGCTGCTAGCGGTTCCACTAAATGCCTCGAGAGATGACGCCATACGCCAAAGAAGGCCACGAGACCCTGACCTCCCAGAGGAAAGCAAGATGGCCCAAGAAAAGCATTGCAGCGAGTGGTAACGGTCTGGCTCGAACCCCGCCCCCGAACACTCGTTTCCCCTTGGGGGCCCGTCGTGACTCTCGATTGCGGGCTCGGATAATAAAGGAAGCAGCACAATGTTCAAATCGAATGAGGGAGTTCGAGCACAAATAGGAGGGCGTGGGCGAGACGGAAATGTGCGAGGCTGTGACGCATCAGCACGAACATGCTCAGTTGCAGCAGGAAGCATTCGGCACCACCTCGGACACTGAACTCGAGGTCGGTACCCTCAGGGGGCATGATCTTCAGCCTGGCACCTGGCACAGACTTCGGAGCCGACAAACAACACCGTCTCATCTGACAACCACGCATCTGATAGTGTCCAGCATCTGCCTGCTTGTACAGAACGCCAGATCAACGAGAGCACCAAGCCGGCCCGGCGAAGGACCCAACCGCATGCACCTGTGAGCACCGTCGCTGTCAGCATCGTCTGCGGTGGCTCTCCCTGCGGGGCCACGACGCGCGTGAACGGTGCGCCGAAGTGGGGCGGGGCCACCGCGCGGGCGCTGCCACCTGGGGCCGTCGAGCACCGCGTGCTGACATGGCGGGCAGGACCGCACGCGGGCGCTGCCACCGGAGCACGAGGTGGAGCTCCCTGGGACAGAGCCCTATGGGGCCACGGGGCATGGGAGGGGTCGCCGAAAAGGACGATGGAACCACGGACGAACGCTGCCACTGGGGCCTTCGGTGGAGCTCCCTATGGAATAACGACGTGTGTGTGTGTGTGGGGGGTGCACCGACAATGGAGGGTGGAACCGCATGCGGGCGCTGCCACTGGGTCCTTCGGTGGAACTCCCTATGGGGCCACGAAACGCGTGATGGGGTGCACAACAATGAAGGGTGGAACCGCATGCGGGCGCTGCCACTGGGGCCTGCGTTGGAGCTCCCTATGGGGCCACGAAACGTGTGAGGGGTGTGCCGAAATGAGGGTGGGACTGCATGCGGGCGCTGGCACTGGGGCCTTCGGTGGAGCTCATATGAGGCCACGAAACGTGTGAGGGGTTGTGCCGATATGGAGGGTGGAAATGCATGCGGGCGCTGGCACTGGGGCCTTCGGTGGAGCTCCCTATGGGGCCACGAAACGTGTGAGGGGTAAACCGAAATGAGTGGTGGATCCGCATGCGGGCGCTGCCACTGGGGCCCGAGGTGGAGCTCCCCATGGGGCCACGAACAGTATAAGGGGTGTGCCGAAAAGGGGATGGAACCGCATGCGGGCGCTGCCACTGGAGCATTAGGTGGAGCTCCATATAAGGCAACGATGCTTGTGAGGGGTGTGCCGAAATAGGGGTGGGACTGCATGCGGACGCTGCCACTGGGGCCTTCGGTGGAGCTCCCTATGGGGCCACGAAACGTGTAAGAGGTGTGCCGAAATGGCAGGCGGAAATGCATGCGGGCACTGGCACTGGGGCCTTCGGTGGAGCTCCCTATGGGGCCACGAAACGTGTGATGGGGTGCGCAGCAATGGATGGTGGAACCGCATGCGGGCGCTGCCACCGGGGCCCGAGGTGGAGCTACCTGTGGGGCCACGAAACGTATGAGGGGTGTGCCGAAACAGTAACACGCGGAGGGTAAAGGCAAGGATCGGATGGGGGGAGGAGGAGGAGGAGGAGGAGGAGGAGGAGGAGGAGGAGGAGGAGGAGGAGGAGGAGGAGGAGGAGGAGGAGGAGGAGGAGGAGGAGGAGGAGGAGGAGGAGGAGGAGCAGCGGGAGGAGGGAGAACGCGGGGCGCTGTCTCGTCAAAACGAAGACCCAACACCACAGGACGGTTGGGAATGGTACTGATGATGGAGGAGGGAGGGGGGGGAGGAGAAGACGAGTAGCGCCGGGCGCCAGGGCGCTGTCTCTTCAAAAACGAAGACCCAAAACCACAGGATGGTTTGGAAAACCAAGCATGGAAAATCTGTCTCTGCCGGACAACTGTCAATACCCACTCTGCCTCTTCCTGCCCGCAGCCTGCAGCATTGCACCGCCCGCCCGAGGCTCGGAGGTATTGGAATGACAAGTGCGTTGCGGTCATGACTTGGCCGCTATCTCACCTTCCAGAGGTATGAGATGGCAAACCCTTCCGATCGGAATTCCTCACTTCCCTAATTATGTATTCTGCGACTGCCATTACTCTTGACATTGTTCCGCGTCCTTTCTACCTGACACGTTGGGTCACATCAATAGAGGAAGCAACAATGATATAAACATAAACTGTTCACGCTCCGCGCGGATTTCTTGGATCCGCGCCGGACCCCCCTCCCTGGCGCGCGGAGCGCACCAGGGGCGGCGCCGGAGGCGCCGCCAGGGGGGTCCCAGCGCGGATCCAAGAAATACGCGCGGAGCACCAAAAGGTTATGTTTATTACGTTTTTCTTCTTCGAATCAAATGCCCCATGCGCTGTCTGGTAGAGGCATCTAACGGGACCTCCCCTGCCGCACGTCGACGATAGTTCCCTCTTCGGCTTTCCGTCTGAACTCAACACCGCCCAAGCAACCACGAAGACCTGAAGCCTCCTAGGTGGGATCCGAGCAGATGGGGTCGGAGAATCGCGCCGCATCGCCGATGCAAGTCGGCGATGCATCGGCGATGCATCGGCGTAGGGGCCACATGCAAACCCTACCCCTACCCCCCACGATTTCTGAGGGGGAGGGTGGGGTTCACTTGGCTGGGGAGGTTCCGAACGAAGTGAACCCCACCCTCCCCCTCAGAAATCGTGGGGGGTAGGGGTAGGGTTTGCATGTGGCCCCCTACGGCGACGTCGGCGCTGCATCTGCGATGTCGGCGTGGAGAACACTGGGCTCCACATCGAGCCGCATCGCCGATGCATCGGCGAGGCGGCGCGATCCTTCGACCCCATCTGCTCGGACCCAATCAGGGAGGCCTAGAATCGGGAATGGACAGACCCCCTTTAGTAAAACGTGGTTTAGTGAAAACGACCTGAGGCCCAAACCTGGCGGGCGCAAGCCTGGAAAATAACGGCCACGGCGCCCTCTCGAGAACCGAAAACGGACAATTCACTAATCGACGTGTCACTATTGGGGGCTCTGTCCACCCCCGAAAAAAGACGACCCAACAATGCCTCAACGCGGCGCCGAGACTCCTCCAGACGGGCCACATTGGCTCCCCCGAGGCCCCACGAGAGCCCAGCGGAGCCCCCGCCAGGCCCCGGGAATGCCCCAAGAGAGATTCGCCAGAGGCCTCCACGAGGCCCGGATGTCATTGGCGGCGGCTGGGGTGCCTCCGAGGAAATCGGGTAAGAGTAGGGGGCCACATGCGAACCCTACCCCTACCCCCCACGATTTCTGAGGGGAAGGGTGGGGTTCACTTCGCTCGGGAGCTCCGGAACGAAGTGAACCCCACCCTCCCCCTCAGAAATCGTGGGGGGTAGGGGTAGGGTTCGCATGTGGCCCCCTAAAAGAGGGGGGATGCATGCAGATACGATCAAAATCGGTCCCTGGACCCCGTCCAGGGTCCATCTAGTGCAATCGTTCCTCCCGGATCTGTTTCTGACTGTCCTGGGGGCCGAAAACGGCCCCTGAGGCCGAGAAGGCGAAACACCTTTTCGGACCCAGAGCCGCGAATCTCGCCCCCCCCCCCCCTCCCCCCCCGGGCTGGCCGGAACCAGCGCTGGACCACCTCAGACCCTCAGCTGGGCGACGCAAAAAAACGGAGTCGTCTGCGCCGACATTGGCGCGTAAGCCGCTCGCGTAAGGTCGCGCGTCAGCGCCCCCGTCTCCAATGCAGCGTACCGCGCTGTCGGCCCGCGGAAGCCGCCGCGTCAGGTCGCTACGTCATCTCGCGGCAGGCCCGTTTTTTATCGTCGCCCAGCTGGCTCCAACCAGTAGGAGCCCCCGAGAGGCCCTCTGGTAGAAGCCCCCAGAGCACCTCCACTACAAGTGCCCATGCCAGTTTGCGAGAGGCCCCAGGGCGCCCGAAAGAGACTGCCCAGACAAGCGATGGGATGGCCTGAGTCTTCCAATGCGGCCAAGGCATTGTCTAGGGAACCATTGGATACGGAATCCAGGGTCTGGAAGCAGGTGGAATTCCAATCGTGAATTGGCCAAGGATATCACCGACGTCCTCATCAGATAAGGAATCCTCCAGGATTTGAAGCATCCTGGGCACATTCCTTAACGAACGCTCCCACCATGCAGTAGTGGCCCGACCACAAGAAACCTTGCTCAAGAAACCCAACCCTGAGACCCCAGGACGTCCATTGATTTATTGTGCGGGAACATCGCGACTTCCACAGCAAAACCATCGAAACCCAAGAAACCCAGGGCACCCTGGAGGCAAGCAGGGTGTTCTTGGCATGGGTCTCCACTGCGCGGGCTCCACGAAAGTCCCGACCCTTTCCCAGGGGCCGGTTTCTCATCCAGATTCGGTTTTGACGGTCCCGGAGCCAGCCAAAAACCTCCCATCGTGATTGTTGTCACGACGCGGGCATGCCTGAGCACAAGACGGCCCAAAAGCGGGCCCAGACGACCATCGGACAATCCAGCACCCGATGTCCGGCCCAGGACTGGGCCGAGCAGATGGACCCGAGGACGGACCCGAGGACCCTCGCCCCCCCTGCTCAAGGGATCAGCTTCGCTCAATTCTCATGAAATAAAGCTTCATCTCACCGGAGCAGATGCCTGCCGGTGCCTCGCCTTGCCGACTCCAAGAGGCCACACGGACCCACCAGGAAGCTGGACACACACAGGCGGCCAGAAGCGTACGAGAAGCACGCGGAGGCCACGCAAGGAGCTCACATCCGAAGCACCCTGCCGAACGCGGGGGCGAGCGGGGACGCAGCATCGTGTGCATCCAGCCTTCCATCAGGTAGAACATGTCATGTGCACGTCAGCTTCCTGGCAGAAAGAACGTACCCCACGGGACTTGTGGTACGTCGCGATTGGCCGTGAGTGTGACGCGTCAGGAGCCACACGACACGGGGAGAGCAAATGCGCCTATACAATTATACAGGTGTGGTGGCTACGTCAACTGTACACTCCATATGAGGCACGCGTGCACCTCCGTCCCAGGAAATGTCTGCCGGGCGGCTCCCCGAGACTGGCGAAACCAAACGGCCTGAGAACGCATCGGGCCGTATGGCTTATGGCGCAGGTTGTGCAGACTGCGCTGATCAGACATCTGATCTCGAAGAATGGCTGTAGCATGGCAATCAGCAAACGTGGGAGGCGAGCGCTCGCGATCTATGCCCTGCTAACAAGCAAGATACTTAGCATGCACGAAAAAAAAAGCACAAGAGCATGGAGAGTTCGGCACGAAACCTCCGGGGTCCAGATTGCGCTGCATGGTGCTGACTGTGGTACTGGGCAGGCCCGCCTCAGCTCTGCAGCACCCTGTTGCCACTGCAACACACCTGGGGTCTGGACGAAAAGCCGAAGCCACGTGCCAGCCTTCCGCCGCTCTGCAGGCGACGAGCGCCACGGGCGCCGCTAATCCTCGACATCGACGGGCGGCACGGTGGACATGCCGTGCCTCATGTGATTGCTGATCCGCGCGAGCTCCTGGTCGGCCCTGGCCACCGCCAGAGTCGCGAGCGCGTCTGACCTTAGGAAGCAACTCCCTGGAGGTCTTCGCAAGAAGGATTTAAGGACAGCTGGGCCCAATCAAGGAGCCATTAGGCCGGAGAAGCCTGGATGAAGCCCAAGGTTAAGGCTGATTAACCTGGAGTCGGCGGGATTCGGAAGAATTGAACGGGCCTGTGCTGGATCGGGCCGGCTGTCGACCACGGATCTACCAGCGCCGATGCCGAATGCAACCTCCCAGAAATTGCACCCCGACTGACCTGTCGCCGCCCTGGTAGTCGTTCACGATGCCGATGTAGTTGTGCCAGTCGCAGCGCGCCGCTCGCTCGCCGAGGTCGCGCGCAAAAGCCTGCGCGTAGGCCCGGAAGGCCTCCCGCACGGGGACGTCGTCGGCGACCGCGGACTGCAGAGCCGCGGACTGCACCGCGAGCACCACGGAGTTCTCCCTCGGCGGGGCGGCGGCAGCGAGAGAACGACACCGATCCTGGCCAGGCCGATCCTGGGCTTAGGTCGGGCATGTCCCCCTGCGGGCCGATTGTGGAAGAAAGCCTATAAAATGACTCAAAATGTCCAAGAAGATTCCCAAAAAGATGCTAACAATCGTCCCCGCTATATTCTTTGACTACTTCTGGAGTACAGATTCCTGGGCCTTTCTCGACTCCTGGGCCTCCTCCTCCTCCTCCTCCTCCTCCTCCTCCTCTCCTCTCCTCCTCCTCCTCCTCCTCCTCCTCCTCCTCCTCCTCCTCCTCCTCCTCCTCCTCCTCCTAAGAGGAGGGACGGGCCCGGCGTAAGCCCTGGGCCCCGGCGCCGTGCGCACGCCTCCCCCGGCCCTGCCAGGGGCGACGCGGGGCGCCGGCCCCTGGGCCCGGGGTGGGCCCTGGCCAGCAGCGGTGCGGTGCGCACGGGCAGCCACCGCCGCGGGGATGGGCGGCCACGAGGCTCAAGTCGGGCGTGCCCCCCTAATTACAGGGGGATTCTTCGACGAAGCAAAAAAAAATAGCCAACAAATACTCCAAAATGATCAAAAAAGACTCAAAAAATAGTCCCCATACGATTTTTCAAACTATTTGTGAATATCCCTCCTGTAGAAGGACGGGCCCGACTTAAAACTAGGCGGCGCGTCCGGGGGGGAAGTGGGAAGGGGCGGGCCTTCTCAGAAGGCTCGGAGGTTCCCCAGCCTTCTGAGAAGTGTTCGAAGTCTTCCCCAAGGACAAAAAAAAACTCGCAGAAGGCGCAGGGGCTTCTGAGAAGTCCTGCCGCCTTCTAAGAAGGCCTTCTCCTTCTCACTTCCCCTTCTCGCTCGCCGCCGAAGGACCCCCTTTCGCAAAACGTGGCTTAGTGAAAGCGACCTCGGGCCCGAACCTGGCGGGCGCAAGCCTGGAACACGACGGCCGCGGCGCCCTCTCGAGAACCGGAAGCGAACAATTCAGGAATCGACGTGTCCTCGTCGTCGCTCGGGCGTCCATTTCCCTTGCATTTTTCGGTTCCGTGCGCGCGTGTGTTTTTACTCGATGGTCCAGGATGGTCTTCGATGGTTCTCGCCGAGAACAATAAGGCACACGTCCGAGCGATGCCGAGTGTCAGGGTGGGGGTTCTGTCCACCCCCGACCGTCCGACCTCGCGACCGCGGTGCCGTGGTGGGTCCAGACGCACCACAGCGCGGCCTCGCAGATCCAGGGATACCTCGCCTCCTCCTCTGGGGCGGGCCTGATCAGCACGCAGTCGCCCGCCGGCGCGGCGTCGCCCTGCTCTGGCGCGCACGTGCCGGTCAGGCGGAGCAGTTTCCCCACGGACTCCACAGTAGCCAGGGACGACCTGTACAGGCCCTTGCCGGAGATGCGAGAGGACCTGTGCAGGACGCACAGGTCCTCCTCGACAGGCCTGGTCGTACGGTACTGCAGGCAGCCGCTCTTCACGAAGAGCATCTGCTCGGCGAGGGTGCCGACGTGGAAGAGCTCGTGGCCCCACCTGGTCTGCCGGGCCTGCCTGCCCTGCCTGGTCCGCCTGGCCTGCCTGCTCTGCCTGGTCTGCCCCGGTCGGCCCCGAGATCCGCTGCGACAGACTTGCAACGTCGCCCCAAGAGAACAACGGCCGGAGCCCTGGACACTGTTGCCCCGCTTTATTGTCTGCAAGCTGGATGGACCAGCGCTGGCCCCAGGGCCCGAGACTGGGAGAAACCGACCGCTGCGGAAAAAGTCGCAAAGCCCGGATCTCAGGGCAACTACCTAGCCTGCCTGGTCTGCCTTGCCTGCAGGACAGCTCGGCGACGGCGCTGCCGCAGATACGGTACACCGCCCCGGCGTGCGACGCCATGATCCTACCGAAGAGCGGGTGCAGCCGGATGCAGGCACTGCAAGTGGACCACTTTATCTCAGCGAGCAAGCTTTGCGGGAAGTTCTGGAAACCCTTGATGTCGGAAAACACGAGCGGGGACTTTCCGCCGATGGGTTGGTGAGGCATCGGCTTGCGCACAGAGACCCCCCCCCACTAGCCCCGACAGGTCCTCCGAATACTCTGGAGCGGTGTCAACACTCCGGCGCTGCCTCTGGCGGCGCCCATGGGGCGCTCAGCGCCCCCGAGTTTGGGGTGTTGAGACCGCCCTGGACGACTCGGGGAGCTGTTGAGGCCAGCTGGGACTACCTGGGGTGGGCTATCGGTGCGCAGACCGAAGCCTCACCAAATGTGCTGATAGCGCATGACGGCATCGATCCGACTGCGCAAATGCTCGCCCACCTTGTTAGCGCGGAGGTAGCCGACGAGCCGTTTTTCGTCGCGGTAGCGCTGCATCGTCTCAGTACGCGCGCAGGTGAGCGAGCCAGTGATGCCCCCAAGGAAGGAGGAGTACACCGCCATGCCGAAGAAGAGGACGACGCACGTGTACAGCCATTCGGCGAGGTTCCGGGCATCGTAAGGGCTCTTCCCCGGGGTAAACTGAGAGACGCTCCACTGCAAGCTCACAATATACAGGAACAGAGGCCCCTTGTCGTCCAAGTCTCCATGGTCTAGCCAGGAGGCGCCGCCGCCCTGTTGCGAGCCTCCGACGAGATGCCATCCGCAGGCAACGAAGTGGCTGAACGCGACGATGTCCGCCACAGTGCCCTTGGCACGCCGGGGCGATATAAAAATGCTTGCTAGCTGCCTGGCAGTTTGCTGTCAATCTGTAGGGATGACCCCACCCTGCCAATCGAGAACAGGTGAATAGGGCGGCAAACTTGCTGAAATCTCTTCCAAAAGATCCCATCACCAAAAACTTCGTGAGCGCGATGGCACTGCCAAGAGGCATTCGCATCATAGCAGGCGTCCTTTCCGTCCTCTTTTTATCTCCTCCCTTCTCTGCCTCCTCCTCGGCCCCCTCCTCTTTCTCTTCTTAGTATTTCTCTGTGCCCTTCAGCCCCCGATTATAACCCTTGTTGTGGTTTCCCTCCTGCGCTCTCTTTGTTCCGACTCACCGGTCAACCTCCTCTTCGCCCGTGACTCCTGACCCACTTCTCCTCCCTCCTCCTGCGCTCCACCCGCAAGACCGTCGCGACCCCTGCCTCGCGGAGGATGAGCAGAATGATCTGTTCAATTCCCCAAACAGTGCTTGCACTCAGGGGTTCCTGCTCCCGGAATGCGCAATTGAGCGTGGGGGCCGATCTGGCGGTTATATCGTCGCCATTGCCACCCCGTCGCCGCCTCGTCGCCGCCTGTCGTCTGGGCCTGGGGGTCGGTCTGGCGAATACGTCGTCGCCGTCGCCGCCTCGTCGCCGCCCGTCGTCTGAGCCTGCGGGTCGGTCTGGCGGCTATGTCGTCGCCGTCGCCACCCCGTCGCAGCCTCTTCACGTCGGTGTGGCTATGTCGTCGATGTCGCCGCATCGTCGCCGCAACAAGGACTGCACCACATCGATTGCACCACATTGATTGCACCACATAGGTTGCACAACATATGTTGCTCAACGTGTATTCTTTCACAAGAAGATCTACCCTGCCCAAGTCTGGGCGGTACCCCGTGGGATAATACAAGTTACATGCGGCTATCCCCATTGGTTGTTTTGAATACGACTGCGTAACATCCCAGACAGGCCAATATCGTCCCTTCCGCCATCATTCCTGTCAAGTCATACTTTGCGCGCACACTCGTTTGCCACAAATCATCCGCCTCAGTGTTAGCCAGCATATGTGAAGAGATGTATATTGTGGAATACTGGTGGTCCAAACTAGGATGTGCAATCTACGTTTGCACAATGCGATGTGCAATATATGTGGTGCAACCTATGTGGTGATCTATGTGGTGCTCAATGTATGCGATACAACTCACGTGGCTCAATCCAAGTATTGCAATCGATGTTGTACGAGCTGTGCGGTGCAAATCCCACCAGCCCTCTGGGCGTAGGTGGTCTAGAACAGATCCTCTTCCACCCCTCCCTCTTCCCCCTTGGGGAGGGGTTTACCCCTCCCCCTACCCCCTCCCCTGGACCTGGACGGGGGGGGCCGCGGGTAGTTAGAGCGTCCCAGATGGCCCAAGACGGCTCCAAGAGCGCCTCAGAGAACCCAAGATGAGCTCCAAGATGGCTCAAGATAGCGCAAGATCGCTCGAGATGGCTCCTAAGATGGTTCCAAGAAGCCCAAAGACGGCCCCAAGATAACTCCAAGTGGCCAAACAGCTCCCCAAGGAGGCCCCGAAGAGGCCAAAATCGTCCCAAAACCTAAGGAAAATCAATGATTTTTGCTTTCTCGCCTTTTCGCTTCCGATGGCCATCCGAGGCCTGGAGATGGTTCCAAGATGGCCCAAGAGGGCCCCAAGAGAGCCCCAAAAGAGCCCCAAGACGGCCCCAAGAGCGCCCAAGAGCACTCCAAGAGCGTTCCAAGAGGGGTCCAAGAGGCGATTTTAGGGGCTTCCGAGGGGGGGCGCTAATTAAACCCCCCCTCTTGTTTGATCGATCTCCTCCAAGATGGCCCCAAGAAGCGCCCAGGAAGCCCCAAGAGGTCCCAAGATGGCCCCAAAATGGCCCCAAGAGGCCCCCAAGAGGCCCCCCGGAGGCCCCCAAGAGACCCCCAAGAGGCCCCAAGAGCCCCCCCAGATGCACCCAAGATGCTCCAAGAGGCCTCGGCGAGAATGCCTAATCATTGATTCTACACAGGTTTTAGCCACATGGAGGCCTCTTGGGGGGGGGCACGGATTAAGATGACTCCAAGAGCGTCTGGGAGAGCCCAAAATGACCTCCAAGATGGCTCAAGATATCCCAAGATGTCTCATAATGGCTTCCTCTGTGTGCTGCCCACTTCTCTGATCGAGGCAATTCCTCTGGGCATCGTTTCTGGATGGGCTGGTGGGGATTCGCGAAGCGACAACAATTGCGCGGTGCCGTTAACGTGGTGCAACCTACGCGGCGCAATATATTGGTACAGTCTATGATTTGCCATCTCGGTTGTGCAACCTATGAGTTGCACAATATGTTGTGCAATCTACGTGGGCGATCTAAGCTGTACAATTTCTGTGGTGCAATCTATGTGGTGCAATACACTCTGCTGAACTTGAAGTCGTCATCTCCACTGATCGATCGCGCAAACATCCCACCCACCCACCCGCAACTTGGTGTGCAAAACCTGTTAAGACCGACTACGACGACACCGACGACAACGACTAGGACGACACCGACGACGTCTCCGACGACTTCGACCACGACAACGACGCCGACGCCGACGACGACGAAGACGACGACGACGACGCCAACGAAGGCGACAACGAGGGAGGAGGAAGGACGACGACGGCGACAACGACGACAACGACGACAACGACGACAACGACGAGGGACGACGGAGGACGGCGGCGACGCGAACGACGACGAAGGAGGAAGGACGGCGACGCCGACGACGACAACGACGAGGGAGGAGGGAAGACGACGACGACAACGACGACGACGACGACGGCGACGAAATAGGAGGGACGACGACGAGACGCCGACGACGGACGACGACGACGACGACGTGGGAGGAGGAGGAGGAAGGACGACCATGGCGACAACGACGACGGAAACGACCACGACGCCAAAGACGACGACGACGACGACGACGAACACGAGAAAAGACAGAGGACGACGTAGGCGACGACGGCGACGGCGACGCGGGAGGAGGGAGGACGGCGACGACGACGACGACGACGACGACGACGCAAGAGCGCGCGCGCACGCTTTTGTTGAAAATCCGTGTTGCGAAACCTTGGGTTTTTGTATGTTGTTTGGACGCACGATTTCGAAATCCTTCCGAAACCGATGGGTTTTGAAGGTCTTCGGCATACGCCCGCGACGACGCGCGCGTCTGCACTTCGTCCCGTTTTTTTGCAAAGGATTCTCGCGACGGCACACGCGCAAGGCCGTTCGGCAGATTCCGACATGCGCGCGCGCGAATCCCGTTTGGTAGCATTTTGTGAAAATCTTGAAAAACCTATGGTTTTCTTGAGATGTCGCAAGAGCTCGCGCGGATGTTTTTTCAGCAAACCACCGTTGCGAAACCATGTGTGTTTGTATGTGTTTTGGAAACTCGATTGCAAAATCCTTCCGGCATCGAAGGTTGTTGAAGGATTTCGGCATGCGCGCGCGACGACGCGCGCGTGTGCACTTCGTCCCATTTTTGGCAAGGGATTCGTGAAAAAGTGCTATGTTAGAACAACAAATGTCACCGCATAGTGTTTTTCACAAGGGAACCTCAGGGGGGGAACCCGGCCTGGCTGGGACGGTATGATTTCATATTTCGGATGGACGAGTGTGCATAATATATATATATATATATATATATATATATATATATATCGGATCGGACCCCTCGGAGGCAGCAGCACGACGGTCTCAGACGCAGAGTGCCTCTAGGACCGGGCTACACCCGAATATAAACCGTGTTGTCACACACTGACGGATATCGAAGCGCAGGTCTTAACGCCTGCTCGAATCTACGAGTCTCATAATGGCATCCATTGTCCTCGAGTCACATCCTGGGCTTTGCCTGTCAGCAGGGGCAGAAAAGGGCGAGCGTCTGGGCGGGTGAGGCAGGCGCTGAGACGGAAGCGCGGGCACGAAGGGCCTACGAGGCCTTTTAGCAGGGGGAGGAGGAGGAGGAGGCTCCAGAGGCTCACGAGGCGAGGAGGGGTTAGGAAGCCCAAAGGCCCTGGGAGGCTCGGGGGCGCTAGACAGGCGGAGCTCAGGGGCCTCAGAGGTTATCTGTTCGGCCTGGGCAAGAGAGCGGGCGTGTGCCAACAGCGAAGCTGTCCACAACTCAATACGCGAACGGGGCCCCCCCACGACTGCGCAGCAGCAGGCGTACTCGTCGGAGCACGCGTGGATGAAGAGGTAGCTCTCGTGTGAGCTCCCGTAGGCAGTGCAGTAGCTGGCGCACTCGATGGAGCACGCGTGGAAAGAGAAGTGCGCTGGCCCTCGACGACTGGTGACTCTGTGATCGTAGATGCAGTCGCTGGGCTCCCCTCGCCTTGCGACGAACGTCCACGCGGCGGTTGGTACCCTCTGCTTCCTTGGGACCGCGGCACGAGCAGCAGGCGCGAGGCGTGCTCGCATGCAGTCAGAGGAGGTGAGCTGTGCGTATCGCCAGTGGCAATATGTGGATTAATTTGGCTGCTCATGTCTACTTCATCTGTGCTGTGGACCACTGTAGTAGTATCTGCTGCACTCCCATCGGCAGCAACTGTGGTATTCGTATGAACACATGGGTTCCATTGCGCACAGCTGTGTCGTACCCAGTGAAATCCGAAAAAATCTACCCCATCAGCGTGTCCTCGAGCTGTGTCAGCTTCGTGTGTAGGATCCGCTCCATGTGTACCATCGGTCCTTGGCCTGGCTTGTAGGTCGCCCCCGACTGGATGAGCGACTCGTGAATCACGCCCATATCGAGATCGGTCCTGGGATTGAAGCTGATCTGCAACTTGCACTGCTCCGAGTTGTGTGCGTCGCTGGCCTTCACGAGCGGTACGAGCTCGGTCACGTGCTTGATCTCTAAGAGATTCAACTTCTCTCCGAGCGCCGACAGATTCTGCTGGTTGAGGCCTCCGACGGACGCGCCTTCCTGGTGTAGACCTTCGAGCAGACCTGCGAAGGCGGCGGTGTGGATCGTGC